AGACTCGGTTGATATCCCACATAATAAATTATAAACGCTCGCGATGAATCCTCTGAATATTTATTATAATTATTATATAATCATATTGGAGGATAAAACGAAACAAATCACCGATACATCATCACTACATATTCGACCGAGTCGACTTCTCCAACGGTTTGATATATTCAGATAATTTATCTTCGAGGGGCACTGTTCAACCAGCCCGGGACACTAGATGAAAACTCGTGAAAACTCGTGGCCATTTTGATCATTCCGGGAACGGCGATACCGTTACGGAAATGGTCGAATGTTGACGAAAGACAGACCAGTATGCCCCCGTCTCTAGTTGTACCCCAACACCTAAACACATGTACTTCTGATGCCCCAGGCGTCTGGGGTCTGTACTGTTCATTCTGTGTGGCTGATTCATCTTCCTCTGATCAATAATCACCAATAAACTTATCACAAGTGATCACGAAAAGTGAATATTTCTGTAAGAGAGGTCTTTTGTCGTCATTTTAGGGTTCTACCAATGACAGGGGTGTAATGAACTTTTATCGTATCTTACATCTCCAGATTTTTCCATGAAAAGAATTACTCCCCGGCATTTAAAGCTACCCTTCTCCTTACTCCCATTGATTTCAAACATTTGTGATTTATAACGATAAAGTTGGTCTTAGACGGTTTAAGTTTGGCGTTTGTACGTTTAATAAATTTTAGTGGAAATTGTCAAATGTAAGTGAAAATGTTGGTGAAGTGCCTTCTAGAACATCGATCCTTCTTCCTAAGCCTGTCCCGCTTCATGTATTACACAATAAATACCCTGCGCTCAAACAGCCAATATCAGCCTTCTTGATTTAGAAACAAAATTCACCACTGACATGTGTGCTGAAATGCTTGAATTGATTGCTCCTGGAAAATTACATTTCATTTTTTAATCAAATGAAAAAAAATGTGATGAATAATTAAACCTGTGTATTTTCGTTGAGCTATCTTTCCGCTATCTTTTCACATGCATTGGCGTTGTCCTACCTTTACAATAGGAGATGTATTTCAATTTGGTATGACATGTCACCGTAACTGATAACGTGTTTGTGTGCGTTGTTGCGTGCATGCATGCTTGTGTGCTTGCGTGCGTGTGCGTGTGTGTTCCTCACGATACAGAAACGTATGAGGTGTGGCGGTGCAGTGTTTAGTGAGTGTGTGAAGATGTTTAACGTCACTTTTAGCAATATTCTAGTAAGACACGAGAAATGGTCATCACAAACAATACCCATGTGGGAATCGAATTCGGGTCATCGGCGTGAGGAGCGAACGCTTATCCAATACATGCGTGCGTGTATGCGTGCTTGCGTGTGTCTTTGTACTGGTCCGGACGAACGCGAGTTTATAGTGCAAGGTCACTGGGATACCAGACCTCATTTTTAACCTGGACGCGTCACTCAGACACATCATACTGATTCAGAGACGACCATTCCTTGTTTTCTCCCCTGAATGACGAGCACCAGGCAGGGTGACAACAAGTCCAATGTTTTCTAAGATTTCTTTTTAACAACCGACCTTCGCCTTCCCGGCAGACATACGATCAACTTGGCCACGAAGGGTGAGTGGATATCCTTTCAACCAGGTAAAGAATCGAACCCACATAGTATGTCACATTCGACCTGCCTACTGTGCCACCCAGCCGTCCGTCGTTGTGCCAGACGTATTAACAGGTCGCTTAGTGCGAGACTCTTCACTACCTATGCCCAAAGCAGATTATATTAAAACCTCACTCAGCCGATGTGCATTACAATTGGGTCCTCAGCTCGCTGGGGAGCATACAACTCACTCTGCCTATATTCTCACTGTCACATGTTATCCCTATCTTAAATTGAACATCTTATTGTATGTACATGATGTATATACGTGTATTAGTTACAAGAGAACCGAATGGTGTTTTACAAGCAGTCGACATGAAAAAGCTGCAAAGTGAAATTTCATCAAAATATTGATTTCTGTATTTCTAATTTACTTTCACCCTCATACTAGAGATTACTAATTACATTACATATAATCTGACATTTCTCAGACTGGCTTCATTTCCAGTGATTCAGATATCAAGATAGGATTCCTTTACTCCTCTTACTGAAGGTTAACTCAAGTTACAGTCAACTTATATTTTAACGCCAACCATAAATGACTTCAAAACGTGTAAGTGTTCATTCCCTTCCAGCGGATACGTGTTGACAAGAAACATATTATGACTTAAATGTCGGTACAGAGTTGCCTCCCGTTGCCGTAAAAGGATCCGCCGATCATTGGTTTAAATCTATTTGCTTTGCGATTGCGTCTGACCCTTAGTCTGTCCGCACCACACCCGTACTCTGAGTGTCACTAACGTAATTACATGGATGTGGGAAGGGTTTTGTCGCTTATATTTTTGTAATACATGTCCCGTTCGTCTTTCCTCTCACGGGGTGGGGTAGCCTAGTGGTTAAAGCTCGTTACTCCGAAGGCCCGGGTTGGATTCCCCACATGGGCACAATGTGTGAAGCCCATTTCTGGTGTCCCCCGCCGTGATGTTGCTGGAGTATTGCTGAAAGCGATGTAAAACCATACTCACTCACTCACTCACTCGTCTCACAGTAGCTGTCAAGTGACATAATTGATATATTATTCAAAGTGACGAGAAACTCAACGTACTCAGTCACAGTACGATTTGTCCACCAGTTCCTTAGAGGCACATTCACCATAGCATTCACCATCTCATTCATCACCGCATTGACCACCGCATTAGCATAGACCATCGCATAGACCATACCATTCACCATCGCGTTGACCATCGCATTCACCACAACATTCACCATAGCATTCACCATCGCTTTCACAACCGCGTTGACCATAACATTCACCATAGCATTCACCATTGCTTTCACCGCCGCGTTGACCATCGCATTCATCATAACATTCACCATAGCATTCACCGTAGTATTCAACATCGCATTCACCATCGCATTGTTCATTGTTCAACAGCCCAGTGAAGATAAATGTCCAGAAATGTCGAGAGTACAGAGACCAGATGCCGTGGCTATATTGCCAGCTGCCAGCTGAAATATTTCACTGAATGTTATATATCAAAGTAGTGTAAGGTTGTTGTTGAGTCGAAGTGACATTCATTGCAAGTGACACACCTTATTAGTACCCGAAAGTAGTTTATCATGTGAAGACTTACTTTCACTTAAATGTGGATGGTCGTCCGGAAAACGTGTTTTATGTCAGAAATATCTGCAAATTGTTCTGTCAGCTGTTAAAGTGTTCACCTAGAAATACTGTGCCGTGCGTTTTTCACACACTTTATGGACAGCAACTGTTTACGGTTTTATATTGTTTAGTAGCAATATTTCAGAAGCTCCAGCCTTTGGTATTCACAACGTTTGGTTTACAATCGACGTGTACTTTCTACTGAGATTTCGAAGAGCGTCATGCAACAGCTATCTAGGCCTTAATTAAGTCGTCAAAACGTTTTAAGGTAACATGTGAAGGATATATTTGACACGCCAGTGTCGGAAATCATGTCCGAAGCATGTTCTTAGTTGGACTTAAACAATATGTGTTTTCATCAGTTGACCAATGTGTTTAAGTTTTCATCAGTTGACCAATGTGTTTAAGTTTTCATCAGTTGACCAACGTGTTTAAGTGTTCATCAGTTGACCAATGTGTTTAAGTTTTCATCAGGTGAACAATGTGTTTAAGGTTTCATCAGTTGACCAATGTGTTTAAGTTTTCATCAGGTGACCAATGTGTTTAAGTTTTCATCAGTTGACCAATGTGTTTAATTTTTCATCAGGGGAACAATGTGTTTAAGTTTACATCAGTTAACCAATGTGTTTAAGTTTTCATCAGGTGAACAATGTGTTTAAGTTTTCATCAGGTGAACAATGTGTATAAGGTTTCATCAGTTGACCAATGTGTTTAAGTTTTCATCAGGTGACCAATGTGTTTAAGTTTTCATCAGTTGACCAATGTGTTTAAGTTTTCATCAGGTGAACAACGTGTTTACGTTTTCATCAGGGCATACTCTCCTTTTCAAGAACACCCGGTGTAATCGATGTTTGATAGTGAACATATGCGCATGATATAGTACAATCGACTTTGCGTTTGCCAGGGATTTCAAATAGATATGAAAAGGGTTGTGTCACTTTAATTGTTACAAATAAATGGAACCGTATCTGCGCAATAGTGTGTCGATGATGGATAGGTTTATGTCGAAGAATACGACACTGATTCTCTGAAACCTAATGTTTTATGTTTCATCATATGGAACGATTGTAGCTAAAATGATAAATCGTGTTGTATTCATTAGACATATCACAAAAATAAAGATCTTGGCGGCCAGCCTAAATATACCTTCATTCGTCTTGCAGAAAATACCAAACACATTAATTGGAACGTTATCTTGGTCAGGGCACGGGAACGTGGTCTGTCCTCGAGATTATCACTGGATAGGACAATGGAACGTGGTCTGTTATCGAAATCATCACTGGACAGGGCAGGGTTACGTGGTCTGTTTTGAGATCACAACTAGATAGGACAATGGGACGTGGTCAGTTATCGAGATCACAACTGGACAGGACAATAGAACCTGGTCTGTTATCGAGATCACAACTGGACAGGACAATGGTACGTGGTCTGTTATCAAGATCACAACTGGACAGGACAATGGTACGTGGTCTATTATCGAGATCACAACAGGACAGGGGAACGTGGTCTGTTATTGAGATCACAACAGGACAGGGTAACGTGATCTGTTATTGAGGCCATCACTGGACAGGACAATGGAACGTGGTCTGTTATCGAGATCATCATTGGACAGGACAATGGAACGTGGTCTGTTATCTAGATCACAACTGGACAGGACAATAGAACGTGATCTGTTATCGAGATCATCATTGGACAGGACAATGGAACGTGGTCTGTTATCAAGATCACAACTGGACAGGGTAACGTGATCTGTTATTGAGGTCATCACTGGACAGGACAATGGAATGCGTTCTGTTATCGAAATCACAACTGGACAGTACAATGGAACGTGGTCTGTTATCGAGATCATCACTGGACTGGACATGGGAACGTGGTCTGTTATCGAGATCATCACTGGACTGGACAGTGGAAGTCGTTCTGTTATCGAGATCACAACTGGACAGGACAATGGAACGTGGTCTGTTATCGAGATCATCACTAGACTGGACATGGGAACGTGGTCTGTTATCGAGATCACAACTGGACAGGACAGGGTTACATGGTCTGTTATCGAGATCACAACTGAATAGGGCAATGAACGTGGTCTGCTATCGAGATTAGCATTGAACAGGACATGTGAACGTGGTCTGCTATCAAGATCATCATTGGACAGGACAATGGATAATACCAAACACATTAATGGGAACGTTATCTTGGTCAGGGCACGGGAACGTGGTCTGTTATGGAGATTATCACTGGTTAGGACAATGGAACGTGGTCTGTTATCGAGATCATCACTGGACAGGACATGGCAACGTGGTCTGTTATCGAAATCCCAACTGAACAGTACAATGGAACGTTGTCTGTTATCGAGATTATCACTGGACAGGACAGGGTTACATGGTCTGTTATCGAGATCACAACTGTATAGGACAATGGAACGTGGTCTGTTATCGAGATTATCATTGGGCAGGACATTGTAACGTAGTCTGTTATAGAGATCACAACTGGACAGGACAGGGTAACGTGGTCTGTTATAGAGACCAACGGGCACGGGATGCTTTCAAGATCATCACGGGACTGGATGTGGGGGATGATAAATGTTATTGGGATTATCACTGGGTGGGAAAGGGGGTCGAAATATGTTACTGTGATCGTCCTTGATCAGGAATGTATGTGGCATATTATCAAGATCAACACCGGACCTTAACAAACCAACAACCAATACCAACACACCGACTGCAGTAAAGCCAAGAACTGTTACATGATGTAACTGAGTTGTATACATACCTACATGTGGATGTGTAACCATGCCCTATTCAGGTTAGAATTGATCTTCAGTAACCCATGCTTGCCATAAGACAGGACTAACGGGATCAGGTGGCCAGGCTGACTTGGTTGGCACATATCATCGCATCCCAATTGCATAGATCGATGCCCATGCTGTTGGTCACCTCGATTGTCTGGTCCAGACTCGACTACATACAGACAGCCACCATATAGCTGGACTATTGCTGAGTGCGGCGTAAAAGTAAACTCACTCACTTACTCACTAATTCAAGTCCGTTATGGGTATTCACCGGAAACCTGACTTCAAGGCATGGCGTTTTAAATGTCAACTTTGTATTCATAAAATATATCAACGTTACTCCAGCTAATTGGCATGTATTGTTTTTTTACAACATGGTAGGTGTTGACAAATGTTATCTGGGTTATATCCATCATAATTCAATTGAAGTGTAGCGGAGGAATCTGTTTTGTGTCTACTCTTCTGTACTAACGCTGAGTTCATAAAAGCTCAAGTTGATATAGAAGTGCTCCGGGAATATTGAATTTTTTACCCAGGCCGAAACGTAGTCTAGACGAGGCTCAAACAGTTAAGGTCCCAATACCAAGCAGAAACAAATACTGGATACAATTAGATTTCCCGTTTTGAAACCTCTAGGTAATGAAGTCAATCTGAGGAAGAGATTACACCGGAAATGCATAATCTTTATTTATGTTTGAATAATAGGCCCTGTTTTCGGTCAACTCTCTAACGACACAGGCGTTCATCGTATGTATATTGTCGCCAGGCATTTAATACCGTCAGATTCATGCAGCACTCGACAGACTCTAAAGTGAGATCAGGCCCTGAACAAGCAAACCAATGACCCATTGTATCAGAGGTGATCAGCCAGAGTTTGGGGACATGCTGACTCAGAAGTGTTGCCGTGGTGACTTGGGTGAGTGAGTGAGTGGAGATCGAACTTAAGTAAGACAATACTCGTGGTTGTTATGTATAAAATTGCTAAGTGATCGTAGTGATGGTAAATCTCTTTGAACAGTGAACTATTACAATGTGTTTTTTTCCACATGCAGAAAATTTTCCATAGAATAACCAAGGATCAAAATCATGTGTTTTCGAATAATGGACATGGCAGTCTAGTGGTTGACATTATCAGCTTCGATCTACACCTCTGGCATAAGATTATATGTATGAAGCAAGTAACCGAATCTAACAGCCTGATCGTGTAATTAGTCACATCCTTTGACAGACTATATGAAATCATGATGGCGCCGGTCTGTAAAAACTCGAATCTGGAGAATAAAATCTTGTGATTGACATCATGAGCTTCGATCCACTACTTTGAGATAAGGTGAAATGCATCAACCAAGTCAGTGAGCCTGACAACTTTATCCCGTTGGTCACATCCAACAACAAACATTACCAATTCTAAGCTACATCTTGGTGGTGTATGATCCTGTGGTGATGTGTGATCCTGTGGTGATGTGTGGCCCTATGGTGATGTGTGGCCCTGTGATGATGTGTGGTCCTGTGGTGATGTGTGGCCCTGTGGTGGTGTGTGGTCCTGTGGTGATGTGTGATCATGTGGTGGTGTGTGGTCCTGTGGTGATGTGTGATCATGTGGTGATGTGTGGCCCTGTGGTGGTGTGTGGCCCTATTGATGATGCATGATCCTGTGGTGATGTGTGGTCCTGTGGTGATGTATGATCCTGTGGTGATGTATGATCATGTGGTGATGTGTGGTCCTGTGGTGATGTGTGGCCCTGTGGTGAGGTGTGATCATGTGGTGATGTATGATCCTGTGGTGATGTGTGGTCCTGTGGTGATGTATGATCCTGTGGTGATGTATGATCATGTGGTGATGTGTGGTCCTTTGGTGGTGTATGATCCTGTGGTGATGTATGATCCTGTGGTGGTGTATGATCCTGTGGTGATGTGTGGCCCTGTGGTGATGTGTGGCCCTGTGGTGATGTATGATCCTGTGGTGATGTATGATCCTGTGGTCATGTATGATCCTGTGGTGATGTATGATCCTGTGGTGGTGTATGATCCTGTGGTGATGTGTGGCCCTGTGGTGGTGTGTGGTCCTGTGGTGATGTGTGGCCCTGTGGTGGTGTGTGATCCTGTGGTGATGTATGATCCTGTGGTGATGTATGATCCTGTGGTGATGTGTGGTCCTGTGGTGATGTGTGGCCCTGTGGTGATGTGTGGCCCTGTGGTGGTGTGTGATCCTGTGGTGATGTATGATCCTGTGGTGATGTATGATCCTGTGGTGATGTGTGGTCCTGTGGTGATGTGAGGCCCTGTGGTGATGTATGATCATGTGGTGATGTGTGGTCCTTTGGTGGTGTATGATCCTGTGGTGATGTGTGATCATGTGGTGATGTGTGGCCCTGTGGTGGTGTGTGGCCCTATTGATGATGCATGATCCTGTGGTGATGTGTGGTCCTGTGGTGATGTATGATCCTGTGGTGATGTATGATCATGTGGTGATGTGTGGTCCTGTGGTGATGTGTGGCCCTGTGGTGAGGTGTGATCATGTGGTGATGTATGATCCTGTGGTGATGTGTGGTCCTGTGGTGATGTATGATCCTGTGGTGATGTATGATCATGTGGTGATGTGTGGTCCTTTGGTGGTGTATGATCCTGTGGTGATGTATGATCCTGTGGTGATGTATGATCCTGTGGTGGTGTATGATCCTGTGGTGATGTGTGGCCCTGTGGTGATGTGTGGCCCTGTGGTGATGTATGATCCTGTGGTGATGTATGATCCTGTGGTCATGTATGATCCTGTGGTGATGTATGATCCTGTGGTGGTGTATGATCCTGTGGTGATGTGTGGCCCTGTGGTGGTGTGTGGTCCTGTGGTCATGTGTGATCCTCTGGTGGTGTGTGGTCCTGTGGTTTTGTGTGATCCTGTGGTGATGTGTGGTGGTGTGTGGCCCTGTGGTGATGTATGATCCTGTGGTGATGTGTGGTCCTGTGGTGATGTGTGGCCCTGTGGTGATGTGTGGTCCTGTGGTGGTGTGGTCCTGTGGTGATGTGTGGTCCTGTGGTGATGTGTGGCCCTGTGGTGGTGTGTGATCCTGTGGTGATGTATGATCCTGTGGTGATGTATGATCCTGTGGTGATGTGTGGTCCTGTGGTGATGTGTGGCCCTGTGGTGATGTGTGGCCCTGTGGTGGTGTGTGATCCTGTGGTGATGTATGATCCTGTGGTGATGTATGATCCTGTGGTGATGTGTGGTCCTGTGGTGATGTGAGGCCCTGTGGTGATGTGTGGTCCTGTGGTGATGTGTGGCCCTGTGGTGATGTGTGGTACTGTGGTGGTGTGTGGTCCTGTGGTGATGTGTGGTCCTGCGGTGATGTGTGGCCCTGTGGTGATGTATGATCCTGTGGTGGTGTGTGGCCCTGTGGTGGTGTATGATCCTGTGGTGGTGTATGATCCTGTGGTGATGTGTGGTCCTGTGCATAGAGCTCAAGTCACAAATCAGTTGACGTTAAGCAACGTTGGGCACAGAGAGTCCTTGGACGGGTGACCGTTTTTTACAGCTTGACTCCTGAGAGTTCCTGCCCCACAACGAAGCACATGTGATACATGTGGTCTCACCATAGGCAAGCGTATTTGTTCAAAATTGCCTCTGTTCACCCAGCAGAAAACGGGAAAATGGGATAAGCCATGTGACTATTAACCTTCTACCGCCTAACAGGCAACTTGGGTTATCGGGGGTAATGATGTCTTAGCGCTTTGAGCATGCACAAGTGTGTGGAAACAGGTGCTATATAAATGACCATTATTATTATTATTTTCGCGGAGTAATAACTGGTCTTGCAACTTATGAAGTACGTGTGGTTGTGATCCAGCTACTTGAGAATGTTAACAATGTAACGTCACCATACAAGACGTCAAGAGTACCGAGCGAATGTTCCACGTATCGACATTATCTGGGAATTCAGAAGCATTAAACATCTTCTCCCTGATATTATAACAACATTGCTCAAATGTATCCATTCCCTCGTTCCTCAGTCCACCTACCTTCAGATTGCAATAGGACCGCCCCCGTGGTGTAGTGGTTAGAGCGTCCGCCCGGAGAGCGGAAGGGCGTGGGTTCGATCCCCGGCCGCGTCATATCAAAAGACGTTAAAATATGGCACTTGTTGGTCCCTGTCTGGCGCTTGGCATTAATGGGTACAACAAGGACTGGTCGGCTCGGAGGCAGTATAATGTGTCTGAGTGGGGTATTCATGCTTCACTGCGGCATGGTATCTCAGTGGGCTAGCACTATAAAACCAGCTTCAGTCT